CTTTTCACAGACCGTGGAGCTCCACAGCTACCGGCCCACAGTCCACAGTCCATCGTCCACATCCCACCGCTCGTTCATGACTCCACCGTCCATCCACAGTCCTCGGACCAAAGTCCACCGTCCGACCGTGCACGGCCGGCAGGATCTCACATGGCCAACGTCCACAGTTCCCAATCCACAGGACTTCACACCTGCCATCCACATTCCACAGTCCACCCCACCCGATCGTCGTCCGCCCGCAGTCGCACCGTTCTGAGGTCGTTCAGCTCGTTTCTGGGCCCGAAATGGGCCGTCCGTTAGCCATCTGTCGGGCCGGTGTGGGCTGGCCATCGCCCGGTCCGCCACATAATGACCGTATAGGCCCGTGGACTTTGCTGGTAATGTGAGTCCTTGCTATGTGAAATTATCATCTCTACATGTATGGCAGCGGACAGGACGGTTGCCGATCAGGACAGCCACCGCCTATGTGAATTTCTCCAATTGTTACAGCACCCTGCCACCACTGCTGCCCCATCCCTCTCTCCCTCATCTCCCCTCATCTCTCCTCTCTCCTTCCCGACCTACCTCACTTACGCAACTCCTGTCCTCATCAAGAGCTTGCAACAGGCCCTGCGCGGCCCCGACGTGTCACTTCTGAGACGGCACAGTGGTCCCCGCGGGGCGTTTTCTCGTTCGTGGGATGACGTAACTGGCTCCCGGGAGAAATTCCACCCGGGCCCTTCCTGCGCTCTGCCCGGGACCTGGGGGCTAATCTGCGACGAGCCGGGGGTCCGCTGTCGACTCGATGGAGGGCTGCGGTGTAATAGCAGCAGAGTGAGAGAGAGAGAGAGAGAGAGAGAGAGAGAGAGAGAGAGAGAGAGAGAGAGAGAGAGAGAGGGGGGGGGGGTAGCGGCGGTGGCGGTGGCGGAGCGCGTTACACCGGAGACCGATGGGCGGCCAATTTGGGGAGCCGAGAATGATGACCGACATGAATTTCCCCGCGTCCATGATACACGAGGGCGTTATCCCGTGGCCAGGTCCGGTGTAGGAGCGCAATGAGTCAGAGTTTCCCCCTCGACAGTGGTGGGAGCGAGAACACCTACATGAACTCTGCAGGAGATATGCCTCTGCAATCAGCGAGGCATAATTGGGAGGGTTAATCTGATTGTCTAATGAGGGCGGCGGGAAATGACAAGATTAGGCTCGGAGCCAGGCGTTAGTTGGCATGGCTGGTCGTGTTATGCAGAACTCGAGCACTTTTGGATCAGTGCGTATAAACGAGTTCGGCACATCTGAGACCATGATTCCGTGGCAAATAAAATTAAGTATATTGAGACATTGGAGACTTTTACTTTATAAGTATCTTTTCTAAGTTATTGATTCTATGGTCGTGGAATGCGGGATACGACAGAATATAACGACTGTATAATTGGGTTTAAGTATAGTAGGTAAACGTTATAGCGGAGTGGTAAGGCCTCAGCCCTCAACAATGGATCACCAATTCAGGACACCATCTTGGCAACCCCTTAGCAGGATTGACGAAAATTCAAAACCGAGCATTTTCCATTCTTTTAAGTTAATTACTTTACTTAATATCCGTCCAGTGATTAACTGTTCAAGCAAATTAGCGCAGCTCATCAGAAATGTTCCGTCTGTGAATAAGCGGAACTGTTGAGGACCATGTCGGTAACCGTGCATTTCAATCTACGTCTTATGGGATCCGGCATAATTTACATTAACAATGTCACTCACTACCCAGAATCTAAAATGTTTGACGTGAGATTTGTGACCTGGGGCGAGATTGAACTCGCGCCTGTGAATACCCGGCAGAGAGCGACTGCTAACCGGGCTATAGCCGGCGGCGGCGGCAGGCACGCGACCCGCGCCGACATGAGATAGCGTGGGTACTCGAGCACCGCTCGGCGGCCGGCCGCAGCAGGCGCGCTCCCGGCTGACCATAATAGAAGCATCTGGACGGCATGCATAATGTATGTGCCCATTCTGAGGATGACTGGAGGGCATATCGTCCACCGAGGGAGCGGACCAGCGGGGCATATCGTCCACCGGGGGAGCGGAGCAGAGCGGCGGGTGTCCCTCCCTCCACAGGAGCCCTTCCTCTCTCTCCCGCCGTTCCCGCTGCCGTCCGGCCACAAGTGGTGCCGCTCGTTTGATCGGACGGCCAGCGAACGGCGTGCGTGTGCTACGTGAGACGACTGCGTGACGCGGTCGGCTCGGCTAGGAGCGTGACGATGGCTCCGAGTGTCGGAACTGAGTGACGCAGCCCGTTCAGTAACGGGCGTGACTGTGGTGTTGAGTGGAGGTGGGCATATGGGACCCGAGTCTATGGAGCCGCTCCGGGCCCTGATTGGTAATGCTGTGGGCGCTGATAACTCATGACCAATTACTATGTTCGATCGAATACGATTAGTCAAAGTCAGTTTATTTCAAATTAGCATGCATGATCTATTGATCAGCATTTTTGATATAACATATTTATTCATTTCGTTTGTGATAACCCTGAGTTAACTGTGAAGCTTAGTTACACGGTACCGTTTAAGCCAGTCCCACTTTACTCCATTTATTGAACAGTTCACTTTGGCAAGATAACAAAGAACAAATGGTTACGTGCGTTCTTTAGCCGATAACATCCACCACTTGCGCACAGGAATTGACTTTCAATGCCTTTTTTGCTGTTTTGAGAATTCACTTTGGCCTCTGAGCTGCGTTAAGCCATCGTAAACTCTGCGGCAAAATTGTCCTGTTTTGGTCTCGGCGACAATTTGTGTCTGGAATGCGCTGCGGCTGCTCGCTCCAGGGGAACTTGTTTGTTGCACGGTCTCTGGAGGTTCTGCCAGGCGCCGCCGGTGTTAGGGCGCCACTGACATCACCCTGACACCCTCGTCGGCCCCAGACGCCGCTCCTAGAAGACCTCCAGCTGTGACCTATGAATAATTAATCGGCAGGCCTAGTGAGGAAAACAGAACGGCTATCGCGACCCCCGGGATAAGCAATATTTCTGGCGATGGAAATACGTAGATGGCCCGATACTGCCGCAAAAGGAAACACTTCCATTAATTGATCAAATGGAATGCCGCAAAAAAAAAACAGATGAACTGAATAATCACTGCTTTACTGACGCAGCCCTTATGCCTTTAGACCATTCATTGCTAATCCCAGCAAGTATCTCACAAGATAAGCTCCTCTGAGACGCTTCGACCCGTTCTCGGCGGTGATGGTCCACACTCCAAGCCTGCAGTCAAGTGCCCAGTCTTTTGTAGGACTGCTCTATATCTTCACATAATCCCGCCCCGCAAAAGCCGAGCCTGCGGAATACGACGCAGCCCATCTCCAAAACGTCCTCCGCCACTCTTGGTTCTAAGCCGAAGCGCGATCCGTCCTGATCCGGATCTCCCGGTCCCCGGAGATCCGGATAGATCGGTTCGGAGCGGAGGCGCGGGGGCGGACAGATACGGAACGGCAAACACTGGCGGCAAACGGACGCAAACAGTCGGCCTGCGGCAGATACAGACCAGACCGAACGGACCGCGGCTGCACCAGCCGGTGGCCGCCACCCCCCCCCCCCCCCTGCCCGCCGCAGCTGCCGCGGTGACTGATCTCCCGAGATCCAGGAGCAACAGGGACGACCGATACTCGGTCGGTGGCAGCGCCAGTGTGCCCTGCGCTCGCACTGAGGCGAGGGAGAGTCTCACAGCCTAAAGCCGCCGCCGCCGCCGCCTGTGATTACGGCAGGTTTCACCGAGCGTGCCGATGACGGCTCGTGGCGGATCAGCGGCGCTGCGGCGGGCCGCCCCGCGGACAGCCCCAATGACCCGCTGACGGCCCAATGGCCGCCTGTCAGCTCGAGCCACACCGCGGCCGCCGCTGCGGGGATCAACGCGGCCGATTGAAGTGCGAGGAGGGTTAAAAACGATCAGTTGTAAGTAAATGATTCTGCCACAGAGAAATCCTGGAGAGTGAAAAGTATACTTGGGGAGTTATGATTGGAAAGTAGTTGAAGGATACAAATTGCTTATGACAATGCAAGGAAATTATCAACGGGAAAATGATTCATATTTTGGTCCCATAGACATGATTGTGATTTAGCACTGTAGTGGCATTGTTCAGCAGCTGTTCACTAATGCGTCACCTTAAAACTGGGCAGTGTACTCGACAATAGCCGTTTTCATGACGGGCTATCCGGCGAATGCACCTGATTTGACCAAATCTGCACCTAATTTCTTTTACAGCAAATATCTTCATTTAAGGAATTTATTTCATTGTTTTAATCGATGATGCTCTCTGATATAACATGACAAAGCAGGCATATAAACAATAAGTGCAACCCTAGCTGATAGCTGCTAAGAGACACACTGAACCTGATTTGATCAAATCTGCACCTAATCTGTACCAGATATGCACCAAATGTGTACCAGATGGCCGTCGTGAAAACGGTTAATAAAAACCACTCCCACCTGAAAATAGCGGTTTTAGCCTTTCTTGCTCCTTACGTCAGCCAATCACATTCGAGGTCAGACAGACCGCCCCGGCCGGTCTGTCTGGGCAGCCTGGGGTCCTTTCGTCGGAGCAGGGTCGGTGGGTACTTACAATGAACTGGGACTTACCACCGCCAGAGCGTTGTGCATTTAATAACCGTTCAACAGTTCTTTGTTTGCTGTTGACATGGATAATTCTTGAGACTGCAAAGTGCTCTGATTAAACTTTTTGAACAGATTCATCGTACTAAGGAAGCCATTTAGAACGTCATATACCTACTGAATTCGCTCATTTAAAAGCTACTCTTTTCTCCTTCCCAATTATTTTGTATCTTTTCTTCTATAATTAGGTAATACTGATAATGCAAGAATCTTAACGAATCCTAAAATATGTCTTTGGCTTGACTGGCCAGTAAACGGTGTGGAATCGCATTCGTTACGTCCGTGACATTTGGTTGGTCGGTAACTGCTCGACGCCCGTCTGCCCTCGGGCTGACGACTGCTCCCCCCCCTTCCCCCTGTTTCCAGGAACTGTCGGGCCCGGCGCTGCCCGTGATGACGTCACACCATGACGTCACACCTTCAGCTGTGTAACGACAACAGCAGCATCGACCGTCTGTTCCCCAAGTGCCGGCCGCCGACGGTTCGCGCCGCCACCGATCGGCTCGGCAATGTGAGCCACAGCTCCGCCGCCAGCTCCGCCGCCAGTCCCCTCACAGCAGCTGCCGGGTCAGAGCCGCCGGCCGTCTGTGACCTGAACGGTAACCCCGCCGCCATGGAGCCACCCCGGGCCGCCGAGCCGCCCTCCAGCGAGCCCGACTCGGACTGCGGGGCTGAGCCGCGGCTGGAGGTGGCGCGCGGCGGCCGCAGCCGGCCGGTCAGACGGCGACCGGTCAGGACCGGCGAGCGGCTCCGCTCGGCCGCGGGAGGCGAGTCGCTCGACCTGACCGTGCTGGGCCTGCGCCCGCTCCGGGAGACCTGTCTGCTGGGCGGCGCTGCGCCCGGCGGCCGGCTCACCGTCGGAGAGACGCCTGTCCAGGGCACCGTGGTGTTTGACGACATCGGCGACCTGGCCGAGCCGGCGCTGCCCATCGCGCAGTACGAGGGCTCGCCGAGACGCTACGGCTCCCGGGCGTCGGCCGAGGCGCGGCCCCGGTCCTGGCGACGGCCTGATGTCGAGCGGAGCCTCGACTGCCACTCCGACAGGGGTCCGGAGCGGACCGCAGAGCGAAACGCCAGCTGCGCAACGGAACGCAGCCTGGACCAGCACAGCTTCAGTTACGGTATCGAGCGCACTTCAGAGCGCATCCCGGAACGCGTCTATGAACGGGCATTGGAGAGGAGCCTGGACTGTCGTCTGGAGCGGAGCTCAGAGAGCACAGACAGAAGAGCGGACCGGTCTCTAGGCTACGGCTCGGAGAGGAGGTTTGTATACGAGGACGAGCCGAGCTATGGACGAACAGAAGAGCGCAGGTCGGGACAGGAGCGGAGTCTGGATCACAGGGCCGATCACTACGGCGGTGAGCGCGAGTTTGAGCGGAGGGAGTCGCGGGGCAGCCTGACTCTGACAGACACCAGCATGTACGGCAACTCGGGCGACTATTTGATCTCCCCCGACCGGGAGATCTCAGAGGAGGCGGAGCCTCAGGCGCTGCCTCTCCGTGCCTTCACCCGCCCCGAGGAGGCGGCCGACCCCACCGCCGTGTCTGGCTCCGACCCGGCCGCGCTGGCGGAGCACCGTCTGTCCCCGCCGGCCGACCACAGCCTGTCGCCGCTGCCGACTCCGACTCCGACTCCGACTCGGGGCGGTCGGGCGGACGCGGCGCCGACCGAGTCGACGGTGCGCCCGTCGGACGGCGGCTCGGAGGGCGGCGTGGCGGCGTGCTCGGGCACGGCCAGCTCGTCGTCCGGCTACCTGGGCTCGCACGGCTCGGACGCCTCGGAGCCGGGCGAGGCGGCCGCCGCCGGCCTGGGCCGCGTCAGTCTGCTGGGCCGGCTGGCCGACGGGCGCGACTCGCCGCAGCGCTCCCGTCTGCTGACCCTCTCTCCGCGCACCAGCGTCAGCGAGTGCGGAGACCTGGAGCTGGAGCTGGAGCTGACGCGCTCGGACGGCGGCAGTCCGGCGCCGGGCAGCGCCGCCGCCGGCGCGCCGCTGATGCCGGTGCTGGAGGACGGCCTCTCGGATGGCGACTGGGAGGACGGAGACGGGCCGGACGACTCGGAGGACGCTGCCAGCGCCGAGCCGCTCAGCCCCACGGCGGCCAGCCTGCTGCGGCGACACATCGCCCGGCTGGAGTCGGAGCTGCGCGAGCGGCGGCCCGGCTCCCCGCCGCCGCCGCCGCCGGGGCCGCCGTCCCCGCCGAGTGCCGACCACCGCCTGGCCAACATTACACCCACCCGTCAGCGGGAGGTGGAGGCCTACCTGTGTCAGCAGCAACAGCAGCGAGAACAGCAGCGAGAACAGCAGCTTCAGCAGCAGGAACAGGAGCAGCATCAGTACAGAGCCCACTACCGAGGCAGCGACCTGGACCTCAGATCAGTCGATCCCTTAGGTAGGTACAATGAATGCATGCTCAGATTCCCGAATTTATTATTAACGAAGCAATGAAAATATGTCAAACAAATGTAACTTCCTGCATTAGGTAGATCAATCAACAAGCGGGATCCCTGCCAGGCTGCGCCTTCTGCAAGTCAATTCTGATTTTTTTTTTATCTTTTTCCCCAAAAAAATCCATTTTTTATTTTGCATGTTTGACCGATTCAAAATCAGCGAATCTGAAAATCAGCAATGCCGTTCATGGTTTCAATTTTCTGCTTGGTTAGTGTTATTGCTTCTGGTTGAACGGATAGAAACCAATCTCTCATTTCTGCTGGACGGATTGAGGCGATTCGGCCGTTCTCTCTCCAAAAAGGCTCTCGGAGCGGTCGTTCTAGCACCACTAATGTCCGCGGCGCCCGAAAATAGCCCGAGCGTCGGTATCACTCTGTCTGAGTGCAAAACGACTGCCAGCTGGGGCCCGGGGTTGCAACGCCATTTTAAAGCAAAAAAAAAAGTTATCGTGTTCTCCCAAGTAACATAAAAAGCGGTAATATGTCTAATTCTAAGGTCGATAATTATCCAAGACGATAAGAAAAAGTATCAAGGACCAAGGGCTTACTCGTAGACGTAAAACGGCACCTGACGTTTCCTCTTATGCTACTTGAACTACAGCTGTAGCTGATATGTAGGCATATTCCGTTCACATTCCTTGCTGCCTGATTTGAGCTCGACTCTGCTACGGGCTGTCGCTGTCGAAGAATGATGCGTCTTGTGTTCCGCTGCATCGGGCGGTACTGATCGCTGACAGCCCCTTCCCTCTGTCCGTTTCTCAGGCTCGGACCACTCCTCTCCTCTCTCCCTGCCGGTGACAACCAGCAGACGTGCTGCTCTCTCCTCTCCCTCGCCGCCGCCGCCGCCACCGCCGCCGCTGTCCGCCCGCGACGCCCCGGCGCCCGAGCCGCCCCCGCCCCCACCCCCGCCCGAGCACCGGCGCGGCGACTACCCGCTGCACCACACGCCACACCGGGGCGACTACAGTGCAAAGAGGCGGGAGGACTACTGTGCAGAGAGGCGAGAAGACTACGCTGCAGAGAGGCGAGAGGACTACGCCGCTGAGAGACGGGATGACTACGCCACCGAGAGACGGGAGGACTACAGCTCAGAGGGTGTTCGAGGCCGCGGCGACTACGCCAGCACACCGGCACGACATGGTGCCTACAGCTCGGAAAGGCCCGAGAGCGACGACTATCTGGAGAAGTCTCCCGATGGGAGCGACTTCAGGCACCACGGCGGCGACCACCGCGCTACGCCGACCCGCAGAAGTGACTACGTGGAGCCCTCGCCGCGCCGAGTCGGCTACCGCGGCTCTCCCCCGGCGGACTCGGCCGCGGGTGGGGTCAGGTCGGGGTACCCCGGAGCCTCGCCGGGGTCGTACTCCTGCGAGGAGCAGTCCCCGTCGACCAGTCGCCGGCCGATGGGGCTGGCAGCGGCCATGGAGCCGCCGCGGCTCGGCACCGACCACAGTGCTTCGTATGAGACTGTGTCCGACACGTATCAGCCCAGCTTCCGGTCGGCGACGCTGGTGACGTCGTTCTCGCCCGGACTGCCCGCCTCGGGCCGCCGGCCGACCGGTCTAGAGGCGTCCAGAGGCCCGCGGCCCGGCATGGCGCAGCGCTCGGCCTCGCTCGCCGCCGGGCCACCCGGCTCGCAGTCGCCAGGCGTGCGGCCGCTCCACCCGGCGCCGGCCTCACCGCGGACCGCCGCGCCCGCCTCGCCGCAGGGCCGGCCCCCGCGCCCCCACCTCCCCCTGTCGCTGTCCGGGGGCCAGGTCCCCAACGGCCGGCCGGCGCCACACCCGTCCCCCTCTGCCGCCGCGCCGGCGGCGGGCGGCAGGGGCTGGCTGGGTCAGGGCGGCGGCGCCCGCCCGGCCCGACCGGCCGCCCTGCCCGGCAAGGCGGCGCCAGCCACCCGTCGGCTGCCGACCACACCTGTCCTGGAGTCGCCCGACGAGGATAACAGCAGGACCGAGCGCTCCACGTGGATTCCCAGGTGGGTACCGGGACCGGACCGCCGCCCGGGCCCTGCGAGTAGAGATAGTAGCGATCCTCACTCATAGATGGCAGCACGGAGAGCGCCTGCAAAGTAGGCTGTACCGCAGTGATTCTGTGCGCTGCGGCACAGCATGTGGAATTAAAATGGCCCCCATGAGGCGATCCTATTTGGTGAGGTGCAAAAGAGGGCCGTGCAGTCTGAAGAAATTAAGTTATAGTTGTAGCTCAAGCTGTGCTGCTGTTGACGTTTTTTTTGTGCTCGATTTTCAGATGGTCTGGCTATCAGAAGCTCTCGACCAAGTGTGATGACCCGCCGCCAATTCCTCAGGCTGACACGGGTGAGTTGAGTCACGACTCACGAGTCATAGACTGAGCCTGAGTCATAATTCACGGGTCTATTGCGACCACCCAATGTCTAGATAGCGTATCAATAGCAAATCGAGACAAACAACTTTCCCACTCCGCCTTTACATATGTGCTTTTTACGCAACGATGCAATCACAATTCGATGAGTCCCGTAAGTGATTTTAAGTTCTGACGATAACGGTAGCTGTTTTTGATTATTTGATGGAATGTCCCTTATTTTCTCAGACGTGTCGCCTATTTTGGCATATTTTAGTCAATTTGTATCCCGTAAACCAAACGCTGGAAATACGCTACAGCATCAGAGTCCTGATGACGAACACATCGCCAGGGAGCTAATATTGTTACCCTGTTAGCCGTTCAAATAGGATGCAGCTTTGGAAGCGGGCTACATATTGATGCCACATATTGGCAGGGCGGCTCCTCTGATGCCTATTTGAAACCTTTATCAAACTATTCGAGGCCATTCTTCGTAGCTTATCCGAAAACGTTTTCTTCATCTCCATCCTTCCCTCTCTCCCCTCCCTTCCTTCCCCTCTCACCTCTCTCTCTCTCTCTCTCTCTCTCTCTCTCTCTCTCTCTCTCTCTCTCTCTCTCTCTCTCTCTCTCTGTCTCTCTCTACACACTTTCCCTCTAGCTCTCCTAAACTTTTAGATCCCTTTACTTCCACTTCCAGTTACCTATCTTCTGTGCAAATCTAATGTCACTTTTCAAATGACGTTACCTGCAGCTCACAGTTTATTGGCTCAACGTCCACCTCTCCTCAAACTGCAACGCCTACAAGGCTTTAAAATAGCTAAATAAAGCTTGAAGTTGCGCCAGTTTTCAATTACAGCATATTAACCATTGATCTCAAAGTTGATCCCATGTGCCCAAGTTCCGTTCCCTGGAGACGATGCTGTGTCGGACGACAGGCACTGCAGATTACTGGAGTTTGCAACATCATATCCAATGCGCATGCATTTGTTTGGGTTTCCCGTACCGTGTATTTTACATGTGCCTGCGTGGAGCCTCGATAGCGATGGCGAGTGTTTCGGGACGAATTTAAGCCAAGAGTTAACAAATATTTTATGAGACTCACTACTTTCGCAAATTTTTAAGCATTCAATAAAGAAAGCGTGGTCAATACAGTTGTTATTGCTTTTTTGACGAGCATCGTCACGTAAGTCGATCGAGTATAAGCAATAATCATGAAAATGTAGGCATGTGAAAAAATCGCCAAAGGGGAGAGTATTTTTAGATATATGACATCGGCGGCTCGCAAATTATACTGTAAGGACTTGCGATGTTCCACACTTAGTCCTAAGTCCATCATTGGTTTATATCGCAGCCAATTGTGGCAGCATTAATTAACACTTTTATGTAATCGTCTGTAGGAATTCCGACAGAATTTCGATAGGAGCGAACGCGGAATAGACGGCGGTAGCAGCACCCACTGCCGAGTGGGGGGGGGGGGGGAGGGGGCACCGAGGAGACAGAGGGGGAGCGGTGACGGTGACGGGAGAGACGCGGGCCGCGCCGCAGGTGTCTCACGCACGCCGCGCTCGGCGCTGTCACCGGCCGACCGCCAGGTGGCCTCAGTCCCAGCCCGGCGCACTGTCAGTGTTCCGAGTGGGTGGTGAGGGGAAGTGTCACCGTGACAGCGCCCGGGGGCACGGCCGGTCAGAGGTCGCCGGGGGTCGCAGAGGTGACTCGGCCGGGTTCAGAGCCGCGGCGATTGGTGGGGCGAAATGCTGTATGGCCTGTATATCTGCTATGAGTCGTTTTCAGACGGTGGGTGAGCTGGTTCCTTGTTGCTAGGTGAGCGGAATGCATAATTGGGATGGTTTGATTGAGATGGGATGCTTAATTGACACGAGTTAACAGTTATGTCGCTGAGTTCTGCCTAACGGATGCCGTGGGTGCCTTTCACATTGATGAAGTTCATAAATGGTATGCATTGTGATTCAATGTTGAGTGCGTGAAAGAATTAGTATCTATTCCCATTACATGATAGTTAATTTCAAAACCATTATATATTTTTTTTCTTAAAATAAAAGAATTGTTTATTTTATTTAAAATTGTCTCGTCATGATACAATGATAGGTATAAGTATTTTACAGTTTTTACGGCATCGCTAAATCCAAAGTAATCACGCAAATAATAAGATGGTTGACGGTCAGTTTCGCCCGGTCAGGACTCGCATTATTAACCAGAGGCCAAACGGCATTGTTGCCTGCAGCATGATAAAGGCCGGGGCCGGCCTCGGTGGCGGAGCCGGCGCACTGTGACAAGAATAGCCGCCGCCATGTTAAAATTCCAACCGTGAGCGGGCTTTGAGCTATCTGGGCCAAAAGACCCGATCGTCCGGATGTGTAAAGCGTGGCGAGCGCCCGGGGAGCTCATTTACCTATCTTATTTCATTCATTTCTATCCTCGACGTAAATTGCTTTAAATCTTAACGGTGAAAAATTAATCTAATCAAACAGCGTTCATGATAGTTGGGAGGGGGCTTCCATCGACGACCGAAAACGTAATGTGGCGTTCAGCTCAAAAGATTGTCTATCGTCAGGGACCTCAGAGTTCAACAAGATGTGACTGGTGGTCTGCCCTTGACGCGACAGAGGTCACACGGAGACAGACTTTTGGTGACCAGCCTGATGATGTGTTCTGGTGGGTCGGTGACTAGCCCAGTGCCATGCTCTGTTGGTGACCGTTGGTGCTGTGCTGTGTTCTGTTGGTGACCGGTGGTGCTGTGCTGTGTTCCGCCGATAAGCAGTGTTATTCCGTTGCAGAGGAGCCCGACACGGACCAGGAGACGGACCGACTGCTCGGACAGAACAAGTCCGCCGCCGCCGACGACTCCACCGCTGGTGACAAGGTGCGTGGCACGCGCTGCGTGAGGAGATGTTACTAATTAGGGGGCGGAGATGGAGGGCTTCCCAGCGGCGTCAGGTGGTGCACAGTGACACGGAGGACGGGGAGGTAGTTCGATAATGAGGTAGGAGACGTATGTACGACCGAGATCTCTTCAGTGAAGGACGGCGTCACACTGGGCGAGAGTGGAGGTCACCATAACAACTCTCTCCTGTCTTATGGATTTGATAACCGATACTAGGGGCATATTCGAAAGATGAACCTATCTGCTTTTCTTCGGTGTAACTATTTGCATTTGAGTGGGGATATCAGACATTGAAGGGGATCGCGAGTCATCCAGCTAGGGGACACTTTCTACAACGCTGTCGTCATTCCTATAGCAGCACATCTTTACGAGAAGTGATATGTGAAAAATAACTAATGTAAGTGATAAGACTCTCATCCCCATTCCATTTCTCTTCGACATTGACACAGGCCCTATCAAGGTTTCTGTCGGCTTCGCCGCGGCCATAAATTTTGCTCCGCCTGTGATGAGTTTGGCAGCCTCCAGTCCGTCACGGGGGCTGCACCAGTGAGGCGGTGGTGCACGGTGGTGCATGCGCCAAGCATTAGTGTTAGCATAGCGCTGGTGGTGGTATTATTGGTGCTGGCGCACGGCGCTCTGGTAGTGCTCGTGCCGGCTGGAAACGCACGACTTTGCTGTCATCCAATGATTTCTTCGGTGCGGTCTGTTTCCGGTGAACACCTCGGTAGATAATGAAGTGAGGGTGGTAGGAGAGGAGGCATCGGAGCTCGTCTGAGTCCCTGCTGATGAGCTAGGACCCGCGTCACCCGGATGTAGTGTGTCTATACAGTATTCACACACATACACTGTGTGGAAGTCGCTACGGCTAAAATGAATGCCAAATGTTTTGTGGGACCATTATTGCATTATCAAACATTGCGTCAGCACAATGCAGTTGTTTTACAGCTTAATGTCCTTGTTAAATCAAACAGTAGGTAATGCAGTTTAAATGAACGGCATGCTGAAAGCCAATCATGCTACGGTACAATAACAAGGCAATTTTTGTGGTAATTAGCGAACCAAGTGGAATATTCGATAATGAGTTTGAGAAACGTTAGTCGTTGGCGCTTGATGTTTTTCATCTAGGAGGACGTAGGTACCTATCTAATCCCAGACTCCAATACATATGTCAAGTGCGGGCAAACCGGCGCTTCGTTCTTAAAATGCGTCACCCGTCCAGATCTCTAGGATCCCGCACCGACCCCGTATCCGATATAAAACATCCCCTTCAGAGGACTACACTGCCTACAGCCAACAGCGCTGACGCGCGCTGATCTGAGATCTTTGTGAGGAGATGTGCCCAGGCCTATCCTCTCAACCTGACTGTCCTATCAATTCTGTGTCAGCAGTTTTTGTTTTCACTGGACTTTCATTCGGCCCTCCTAACCGCAGTTATCACTGCAGAAAATCCCTGTCATCGCAAAACAAAAGAAAACCTCTGCATGTCAGCATGCTTTTCAGATGATATCTTCAACCTCGAACACGATGAATTAGACCGTGGTAGGACGGCATTTTATGGGACTGGAGATGAATTCATAAGCATTCATAAACACAAAGCTTTTAAGTTTGAATGGAAGACTTCCTTTTTCGGGATCATTCAACCTGTTTCCTCTACCGCTTAATTTTTTCTTTTTATAAGAATGAACTACAGGCCAATTTTCGTCATTCTAATAATGTTCTTGGTCGTCTTAATATTCAGAACGCATAGTGTGGCGTGCCACTTTACCTACAGGGTAGCATTTACGAGAGTTATTCCCGTCTTTTGTGCTCTGTGCGACTGAACTGACGTCGATCATCCATTGGAGTTTTACATATACAATTTGTGTGCCAAGTTTAGTGCCGATCGTATCGTAAGTGGACAAATTGAAAGAACCGCCGTTGACATATCCAGGATGTGATGCAATTGGACGATTGCAGGCGCAGCCAAATGTGTAGTGCGAATTGGATGGCTATGGCCCATTGGTTTCAACTTTTATCTAGGGAAAACTTGGTTGGCGTTTACCCCTAGTCGATGAAAAGTGATAGCTGAATAGTAAGTACATGGGAAATAATACTTACCTACCTGGGATAATATGCAGCGCCATCAGATGCTATTCTGTGTGTGTCCAAAATGTTGCACCTAACCGTTCAACTGAAACATTCCAAATATACTGGAAGTTCAGTTAACAACAACATGTTTCTACCTTACTTTTGAAGTGGCATACAACCGAAATCAGGACGAACATAGCCGCAGACGGTGTCGTGGATGGTAATCTCGCTAGCGCCGCAGGGCTGTCACCTTTTCTGCCGGTAGCGCCTCCCCCTCCCCCTCCTACTGAAGGCGGGGAGACCGGTGATTGGTCCGTTTTTACCGACCGCCGACATCTCGCTGATTCTGATTGGCTGCCGTACGACGCTCCGTCTGATGACCGATGATGACTAAATTGCGCCTCTCGGCTCTCAGTGCCCGGCGCTCAGTTTTTGAGGTCCCTGCTCTCCCTCTCTCTCTCTCTCTCTCTCTCTCTCTCTCTCTCTCTCTCTCTCTTTCTTTCTCTTTCTGTCTTTTCTCCTTCTTCACCTCTTCTCATTTCCCTGACCATCTGTTTCTCCGCTTATCCTCTGCTGATCGTGACATCAGCCACCACCTCCCTCACCTTTTCTGGCACGAGACGGTGTGTGCGTGCCGCAGTGCGGGAGGGACCGCCTCACCGGGTACCATTTCCACCGGGTTAGCCGATGATTGGCTCGACCCAGATGAGACGCGAACAGGCGACCGGCACCGTCTGCTCGGGTCGTTGACCTTTCCAGACACGGCGGATGTTATTCCGGCGAAACTCCCATGGGGCACAGCTGAGCCGCCCAAGTTTGAGCCGCGCTGTGTTCCGGGAGTTTTTACTGCACCGCTCAAAGTTGCTCGGCGCCACGGCCTTTATAAACGCCAGCTGTCTCAGATGAGTCAGTCCGCTTGCTGCTCTCGAAGGCCGGTCGACCACAGAACGTTTCCAATAGCTGTTTGTTGGCCGCCAGCCATGCGCACAAAATGAGGCGGACCACCACAAAGCGGTGTTGTGGTCGATGTCGGCGGCGAGTGAAGGCTTTGATATTAAATCAGGATGAGAAATTGCCCTATTTGTGACCAACAGACGTGATGAAAGCCACTCGAGAAAACAGCCACAACAGACTTCGCAAGCTGGTGATAAGTTGAATCTCTTTTTAACGGTTTAGTCTCACATTTCCCTTTATTACTATTTATTCACTCCTATTCTTACTGTATAGCCCACATATCTAAAAGTGCTATAGCACATCGTCTGTTTCATGTAACGAGGATAAAACCGGCGAGTGGATTCGTGACCCGTGAAGGCACACATTTAGGACTAGAAACTGAGCCGGGGACTGCTGCTGGGCCAGTGACGCACTGGATTGCCTGACCGGTGACCGTTTGCAGTGACCTCTGCGCCGGTCAGTGACCGTTATGACGTCGGTCAGTGACCGTTATGGCGACCGTCAGCCGCCGGAAGGGCAGCCGTTCCCGCCCATACAAACGGGCGCCAAAGCCAATGATCGCCACGCTGGCGCTGATGTCGAATGCATGCCAATGGGCCCCGCCGGCCCGCCGGGAGCGCTCCATTTCAGACGGGGACTGAGGTTGGAGAGGGCGGGGGAGGAGGACGAAAACGAGGCCGGTGACAGACCGGCTCCTGCGTCTTTGCCGAGGGCTGATGATTGATATCTGTGGTTACGATAAGGTGCAAGAAGAGTCCGTAGTGATATAGGCATTCATTTACCTAATGACTGCAATCTATATTGAAATGAATGGAAAATCAGCATGCCCAATTTATTAATTTTCTTATTGGTAAAGAGCATTTAACATATTTTTACACATTATCATCAAACACAAAACAGGTAACTCACAAATTAGGCAAGGAAGACTAAAATGTATATGCTTGCTTGTTTCCATTTAACCGCATGATTCGGAATGACCCCAGGCACCAACCTCACTCATCCGGCTCTCGATATACCCCCTCCCCTCGTCACGGGAGGGGGGGGGGGGCTGTCACCGCCGGCCGGCCCTTCGCGTGCTGCCGGAGATGAGCCCGTTTGGCTCCGGCGCCCGGCGCGTGACTGCTGACACGGTCTCGGTGCCTCGATGAAAGGCGATGCTAATAACAGACAGCCAAAAAAGGGTTGTGTGGGATGGGAGGGTGTTTCTATTAGTGCACCAGAATGAAATAGAGATGACCTTTATCTGTTTTCGCGATCTTTGGAAACTTGGAAAGATAGCACTCGTATTGAATAAGCATCGGTCAGGTGAATAGTTTGTGCTGGGTAATTGCAAGTAGGTAGGTGACTGAATAAGTTTGATAACTAGCAGTGACAGCATTGACTCGATGGGGCTTTCCGGCATAACGTGAGAGACATTTGAAAAGTTGTCTATTCTTAATAATGCTTTCAGTCTCCGACCCTTGGCCATTGACTAGTGCAGGGCTCACTCTGACCGTCCGTCCCTTACAGAACTGGAGGAAGCCTCGACCACGTCTGCCCAAGTCGAGCACAACTGGTGACTTGGCACCCCACTCTCCCGCCAGAGGGGACAGCGCACAAAACGACCAGGAGAACATGAAGAAAAAGAGTAAAACGAAGGAAGGTACGTTCTGTTTTGAATGCTCGTGTGAAATAACTGTCACTGACCAGTGGCTACTGTTTCTCGTCCCTCTTTCTTTTGATATTATCTACTAAGGCAAAGGCTGTCATAACCTCCCTTTTTATCCAAGCTTTAATTCGCTTGTCGAGCTCTAACAGTGAGAAAAGCTGTAATATAAGTAGAAACAAGTACGGTAGGTAATTATTGTAAACGATATTCAACAGCATTGATTATAAGTGTCATTGGGATGTTATAAGTGGGAATCAAGTACATGAGTCCCTTTCAATTTGTAGCCTGTATCTTGATAAATGTTTTTAATCTTTCCTGCTGCGTGCACCTGCATTGGATTGACGTCAACCACGGTGAGTATTCACAAACAATGTTCTCAACTAATGCAATTCTTTTTCAACCGTCATATCCGGCAGTCGGCTTGCCTTTCTTTTTTATCACGAGAAGATCGATATACACCGTGTCACGGTCGGGTGTTTCGCGTAACGTTTGTGACGCACCGTTTGTGACGCGTCACTCCGCTGTGGCCGCCCGCAGCT